GGTAGGGCTTGAGGGTATGCAGAGAACTTGGATCTTTATCACAAGCAGCAAGACTCAAGAACTTGGGCAATGGAGGTTCGTAGTCAGATTTGTTCAGAGTACCATCAACTGAATCCACATCCGGATTTCTTGACCTCTCTGACCTCTGCGACCTTTAAAATAGTTCAACTTTGAGCCTCAGATATGGGTTTTTGTTTTGAGTTTTTCTGGTTTGTAGGGTGAGGTGAGAGGAGGGTGAGTTAAAATAAACAAATAATAATACAATTTCTAGTCTTCCCATAGATGATTTTTTTTTTTCATTGCTAGGAATTGTACTTAGGGCCTCACACATGCTGGGCAAACAAACGCTCTGTAATCTGTTTTCCTAGCTTAACATCTTGGAGAATATAATGCAAACAAGTGTCTGCACCAGAGCAAAGGTGAGAAGTTCACGTCTTAATTAGTAAAGGATGCTCACACAAAACACAAACTGCAGAACTGTCTACTACTAGGTGACTTCCTTCCTGCCACTCGCTTTTATAGGCGGGGAGAGGTTGACTCAAGACAAGGTTTCTCTGTGTAGTCCTGGCTGTCCTGGAACTTGTTCTGCAAAACCGGCTGATCTCGAACACCTGCCTCGTGTGTGCCGGGATTAAAGGCGTGTGCCACCATGCCTGGTCCTTTCTGCTGCTCTTCATTTCATCAGTTTATACGACAAATATTTTATGCATCCTTGATTTTTGCCACACACAAATTCTGTTCTGCAGCCCTGTGAGATCAAAAAAATGTATCTGCCACCCTTTTGCACACGCTCTTTTGCATAAGCCTGTCTGACCAATTGAGTAAAACCCCTCACCCACATAATGGAAGGAGAAAACCAATTCCTAAAGCTGTCCCGGGACCTTCACATGCATGCTGTGGCACTCACACATTATTCCCCAATTCCAATAAATAAATAAATAAACAAACAAACAAAATAAATAAATGTAGCTTTTTAAAAAGTGCTGTCATTTCCTCTGCAAACAGTCTAGGTCTTAGAACTGCCTGTGACCTTCATCTGGATGGACCTGTGACCATTTGGTGACAACCACACAGCCCCTTCTGTCACTTCCGTACTTCGAGGCCATGAACTTGACAGTTCAGGCTCCACTGTCCATGCTGCTCACTGCCCAGGGTGCACCTCTTTCAGTTGGGCTTTTTATTGATCCCTAAACATGAGCTGCCGCGCCCACTTCTTCTTTTTTTTTTTTTTTGGTTTTTTTTTTTATTATTATTTTATTTTACAATACTATTCAGTTCTACATAACAGCCACAGATTCCCTTGTTCTCCCCCTTCCTGCTCCCCTTCCCTTCTCCCCAGCCCACCCCCCATTCCCACCTCCTCCAGAGCAAGGCCTCCCCCGGGGACTGAGATCGACCTGATAGACTCAGTCCAGGCAGGTCCAGTCTCCTCCTCCCAGATTGAGCCAAGCATCCCTGTATATGCCCCAGGTTTCAAACAGCCAACTCATGCAATGAGCCCAGGACCTGGTACCACTGCTTGGATGCCTCCCAAACAGATCAAGCCAATCGACTGTCTCACCTATTCAGAGGGCCTGATCCAGTTGGGGGCCCCTCAGCCTTTGGTTCATAGTTCATGTGTTTCCATTCGTCTCATTTCTTAATCTCAAGTCACAGCTCAACACTGGGAAAATGTCTCATCGTCAATGCAGGCATACTTTTTGCCAATGCACTTTTCAAAATGAAAATTTCAACCAGGGATGGTGGCCTGCGATTCCAGCACTCAGGGAAGCAGAGGCAGGAGGCTCTCTGGAAGTTCACTGTCATCTCAGTTTGCATGATGAATTCCAGGGGTCCCGAGGAGACCCTGCCTCAAAAAGGTGTGTACCCCGTGGTGGGGTTAAGGATGGTGGGGTAGGAAGGAGGTAGGCTGGGAAATTACACTAAGAACCAACTTCATGAATTCAATTTTATTTCCATATATCCACCTATCATCAGGTTTGTGCTAATTTCTTTATTCCCTATAACCTGGAGCATAAATTTTCCATAAAGTTTTTCTTTTAATTAGGATAAAAAAAATTCAGCAAAGGAAGTTTGAGAACATTCTGTATTTCATAAGAAGACCATCTTAGGAAGGGGGGGGGGTTGCAGAGGAGGAGGGAGAGGAGGGTGCAGAAGAGGAAAGGGAAGGAAAGAAAATTATGGCTTTAATCAAACTTGTTTCAGTCACTTCATGCAAGACATAGTAATAAAATTCTCACAGTAGCAAATGACTTAAATTCTGCCCTAAAAAAAAAAAAAATCCAGTTAGGAGTGGTGGAGCAGGTTTGAAATCCCGCAGTCAAGAGACAGAGTCAACCCGATCTACACAGTGAGTTCCAAACCAGCTAGGGTTTTGAGACCTGTTGGGGGGGGAATCCAGGGCTGAGGATGTGACTCAGTTGGTAGCCTATAAACCGGAGCTGGCCGTTGATACTTGCAATCCCAGTACTCCAGGGGCACAGGCACAAATGTTCAAGGTCATCCTCTGGCCACACGCCACCCTGGGACCACTGAGATTTTGTCTGAAAAACAGAGGAAAGAAAAAAATTAAACAGATACTTAAAAAAAAAGATTTATTTATTTTTATTTTACATGGTTGTTTTGCCTGCAGGTATATATATATATATTTGCATCTCATTTGGGCATCATCTGCTACTGCTCTCTGAGGCCAGAAGAGGGCACCAGATCTTCCGAAACTAGAGCCACAGGCAGTTCCAAGTCAGTGTGCGGGTGCTGGGAAGCATACCCAGATCCTCTGCAAGGGCAGCGAGTGCTCTTAACTGCTGAGCCAGCTCTCCAGCTTCCAGATATTCATTTGCTTTTCCAAAATTAAGACTTGAAAAAAAAATCTAACTTAAGTAAATTCTTTGATTTAATTAATTGAAAATAGAACCAGAATACTTTCTTTTTAAAAAATCAAATAGTAAAACAAAACAAAACAAAACAAAAGCAAAATCAAAACCCCAGAACCTGGCTTTCTGGAGAAAAAAAAAGAAAGAAAGAAAGAAAGAAAGAAAGAAAGAAAGAAAGAAAGAAAGAAAGAAAGAAAGAAAGAAAGAAAGAAAGAAAGAAAGAAAGAAAACCCCACAAAGTGTATCATACACTTAAGGTATAGACAGATTAGCATTGGAACCTATGAAGCTGGCCTGGCAGTGGTGGTGCATGTCTTTGATCCCAGCACTTTGGAGGCAAAGGCAGGCAGATCTCTGAGTTCAAGGTTACCCTGGTCTACTAAAGGAGTTCCGGACAGCCAGGGTTACACAGAGAAACCTTGTCTTGAAAAACAAACAAGAAAACAAACAAACAAAAATCCAAGAAATTCTGTTTCATTTCCAGGACCCAAATAAAAAAGTTCAAGGCAGCCCTGATATAGAGTGTCTGGATCTTCTGCATAGAGTGGTCTCTCAAGTGTATCTTTAAAAGCTTTTTTTAAAATATAACTCTACAATATTTCAATGACTATAAATGAAAAACATTTCTTCCCTATGAGAATAACCTAAATCTGTATACACACTCCAGTTACCAAGCCAGACATATTTAGATGGTAACCTGTGCACTGAGATTTGGAACTGGCTGTTAGCCTTAATAGTTTCACGTCTGTACTAAAATAACCGAAGTTGTGGGAATGTTTGGACCACATCTTCCCTAGAGAACAGTCTGAACTTCCTGTGCCCTTTGACCAGATGCTCACACACTGAGGAGTAGAAGATTAAAACATCCACGGATGTGGGATGTGGAACCCCATGTCTGCCTGCCTGTAATCCTAGCACTTGGGATGCAGAAGCAGGTGGATTACAGGGGTGCAAGCCAGTCTCAACTACATAAAGAGACCTTGTCTGAAGATCAAACTACAATAGCCTATGTATTCAGAAGCCAAATCTTCCTACTGCTACTAAACATTACCCATAATATCTGAAAACTAATGTCCACTACTCATTCTCTTTTATATTAGGCTTTAGTGTCTCTGTTTTTTTTTTTTTTTAAATATTCTAGAATGAAAAGGAACAAATGTTAAGAAACACATAGAAGAGTAAATGTAAGGTGGAGAGGACAGAGGACTAGATCGGTCCCACAAAGGAAGAAGTGTAATTGTTAAGTCAAAGGACAAATATATTGAAAAAGCAGTGAGAAAACTCCTGAGGCCAGCAGTAGACTCTTTCCTTGCCTTGTTACAGACTTTCAGCCCCTCTCTGACTTTGCTTCATTTGTAACAATGATGCACAAGCATCTGGCAGGAATATTCCTTCATTAACCAGTACAAACCACAGGTAGAGTCCAGCTAAATGTGAGATCTCTGAAAAACACCAGACCTACGGGGTCTGTGGCTCCAGGTCACTTACCCCAAACACCTCCTCTCACCCTAGTATAACCCTAGATCTTGCACCCAGTTTAGTTAGGGATAAGGGACAGCTGCAAAGAAGGCTAGATTCAGAGATAAACTACTTCCAGTCCTCCGAGCAATCCAGATAAGACATCAAGTGGTCTATTTTGAATTCCTTTGCTCCTTTATTGATGCCACTCCCAAGCAAACAAAAATCCCACCTCCTTTGGTAAAAGAACAAAATGTCTAAATACTTGTCAATTCTTTGTCTCAAAAGCACACTGTATGTTTGCAAGATTTCTCTAAAGTTTTCAAAACTAGGACTAAAGCTAGGAAGGTCAAGGGGTTTATTCAAATCTCAGAAAGAGACTGGATTGAGAGCCATCTAAAGATACACTTTCCCACTAAAAGAAACCAAACAACTTAGTTTAGCTGACAAGGACAATCCTAAACAAGGTTTCCTCTCACTCAACACAGCTCCAGCAGAGTGTGTTTACAGTCTTCTTCACTACCTTCCACCAAAGATGGGAGGAGGTGCAATTCACCAATGTTTACATTCTGCTTCATTAAAAATGACAAATGAATAAGACTATGGTTATGAATTACAAATCGATGAATTCAGAAAATGAAGCCAGAGTTGAGAACTCACAACAGATTCTGATCAACAGCCAGCACTGGTGAGGGATATTCCTTGATGAGTCCTGGGAACCCGGAGTTGAGCATCAGTGCAGTGTGGAGACCCATGGACTTGTTTGTTTTTGCTGTTGTTGTTTTGCGGCGTTCGACAAGTAGTAAAACCCGTGCTTGTTTCAGGGTTCTCTTTCTAGAACTTTCCACAACACATCTGAAAATGAACTTTCTCATGATGTTTGTCTGAGCTCTGCTATTATCCTGGATTTTCTTCCACAATTAACCCCAGTTTTAATTTGTGAGCATAACTGATTATGAGGCACAATGGTTTCATGAAACTCCTCAGTGTGCATATACAATGTGTGCACAAATACAATTCGTCTTTTCTGTTTTAACACTAGTCTTTGGAAGTACAATATGGTAGCTTATACACCTCACTGACTGAAAAACAATATTGCACTAGGTAAGATAAAGACTAAGGAATAATTAAAAAGAATCCAGATTCTTACATTTATTTTGGTCTTAAGTTACCGGTAAAATGTTTTCCTAAGCAGTAATGTGGGGGTTATTGGGAAGAAAAAGAGAAGTAGATTATTGCCTCAAATCCTTCCTAATTTATGAAAGATAAGTACGAATTCTTAGATTCTTTCCCAAGCATCCGGAAGTTCCTGGTTTAAATTCTGTTTTATGCTTTGATTCCTAATGACCTCTTGGCAGGGCTCCTGCAGCGCTGGAGGAAATGGCATGGGGCAAATGTCTCCCAAGAAGCGGCCACCGGGTGCAAGACGGTGAAGGGAGGTGTTTCTCTGGCCAGCTCTCTTGCTGGTCACACACCAGCCGCCTAGCACAGCCTGCCTTTGACCCCCAAGCTCCTGGGCTGAAAACTTAACGCTCTTCGGAATCGAAGCAGCTCATTCTCAAAGGGAATGTGGCTAAGGCGATGGTAAGAAATGCCACCTTGCGTGGCGCTTATACCACACTGCTCTTAAAAGCCCGAAGCCAGCGGGACCCACTCCTTTGCAAGGCAACCCCTCCAACCCGCAGTGAGTCCTAAAGAAAGCAGCTCGAGCCCCGCGCCTGGCGCACGCCCCCTGGTGGCTCCACAGGGAAGCGCAGGGACTCCTGCGCTCCCTTGCTAGAGACTCCCCGGTCTCGGACGCCGCGCGAGCCGCGGTGGCCCGAGAGGCCCGGCTGTCCTGAGCCCGAAGTCTCGAGGAAGCAAAGGAGCCGGCCGCCGAAGCCTCTTCCACCCTCGGCCGTGGGGTGGGGGCACGTAGCCCAGCGCCCGGAAATAACGCATGCCACTTCCCCTGCCATCTCCAGTTCCAAACCCCAGGCGAGAGGGAAGAGCCGTGGAGAAACACGGAGAGGGCAGGGCGAGCGCGCAAGCGAGGCAAATGACGTGACAGGGACAATCTAGAGAGATACGTCCCCAGAAGGCTGCTAGAGGCCAGGGTATCAGCAGCGAGCAGCTGAGGGCTGGAGCGAGAGAGATCAAACTCCACGTTTTCCCCTAGCGCCGGCTTTCAGCGCCTGGAACCTCGCATGGCGCAAGGTCGCAGGTGCTGTGCGGGAATTTTGACCTTACAGCAGGTACTTTCCGGCGGAGGAAAAACATTCTGTACATTCTCAGCTACAATTGCAACATCAGTGTGCGGATCTATCTCAGCTACCCGCTGGGTGCTTCCACGTGCAGGCACCTTTCTTCGTCCAGCAGCGGCCAGAGCCTATGTATTTTCTGTATTTTAAGTGGTTAACCATAGTCCACTTCCAGCACGAACAAGAGGAACTTTTAGGAGAATGTTCTGGGTGACAAATAGTGGGATTTGAAAGGCGACTCTCCTTTTATTTACGGTTTCGCGAAGGAGGAATTCAATTCTGCAGGGGAATGGTGAGCCTCTCCCCCCTCTCCCTATTTCGGAAGTCCATGATGTCGCCCTGAGTAATCGCGTGGGTATTACTGAATTAATTTAAAAAGCCTTTGCGTCGAGCAAAACAATACCAAAAAAGTCTTCAAAAGGCCTCCATCTATAGATAATCCCTCTTAAAAATGAAATTCTAACAAACTACAAGTCCACACAATCAAAAGCCAATCCCAGCCAGAGCAGAAGGGACGTGAAACACGAATCTGCATTCCGTTCCTCCCGTACAAGGCTCGGAGGTGGGGGAGGCGGTTTGTGCTGGTGCCCGGTGTATAATCGGGTTAATCCAGTAGACAAAGAATAAACCAATAGCCCTCCCACCTCACTTCCCGCTCCCCTTTCCCTCTCTCCCCCACTCCGCCTGCTGCTCCCCCCCCCACCCTCTTCGCCCCCCGGGCATTGGAGGGGGTGGGGCGGCGCGAAGGAGACGAGAGGTAGAACCGAAATGGACTCCCAATCGAAATCTTAAAAAGCTGCAAGTCGCTTTGCACGCGAACGCTGTGCGGCGGCCGGGTTAGTTTGCAACAACGTCCCTTCTCCTCTCCGGGAGGCGAGGGGGAGAAAGTTCCCTTAAGTCAGCCTAGCCTGGGGGGGCTCGTGCTCGTGGCCTTTGGGTGGGTGGGTGTGGGGGGGAAACCCTTAAGGTCAGTGTTTCCTTGAAACTAGATAAACTGACCTCGCGGTGGCCAGAGCGGCCCCCGCGTGTCGGCGGCGCCCGGGCTGCAGGAGCGACTGGGGACGCGCGGGGCGGCGCGGTTGCCCTTTTGAATGCCTCCTGCGGCTCGGAGCGCTGGCGGGCGCTGGAGTGTGAGTGAATGTAGCCCCGCGGAGCCAATGAGCTGGGACCGGATGCGATATATCCTCTGGGACAACAACTGCTCTGTTCCGCCTCGGATCCACATGACGCCATTTACTGCTGCCGCGGCCGCCGCAGAGCTCCCTGCCTCCTCCGGAAAGGCG